TGTGTGTGTGTGTGTGTAGCTCACAGTGTGTCGTGCACAGTGTGTATGTGTGTGTGTGTGTAGGGCGGTGGCCGCTGAATGAATGATCAAAGCCTTTTAAATGGTTGATGGGCGGTGCGTGTGCTGTATTTACCCGGGGCGCCCCGCCCTACGACACGGATAGAAAAGTGACTGAGGGCCGGTGGAAGGATGAAACAAGTGGAGGGAGATGTAGCAGACAGGCGCACTAACACCACCACCAACACCCCCACACGCGCTCCACCTTGTCGGCTTCATTGCTCTCACTCTCCGCTGTAGCATCCTCCCTTTTTTTTATTTGATTCATTTTCTTAGCTTAGCAGCTCCGGATTAGATTTGATCTGCGGCGGTGCACCGGGAGCTTCATGGCCGCGACACTCGCGATGAGCGGCGGCGGGCAGGAGGATCCCTTCTACCCGCTGCAGAAGGCGAGCCTCCCCGCTGTGTTCCCCCTGGAGGACTCGGCGCTGTTCGGCTTGGACTGCAAGATCCCGGAGGAGAAACCCGGACACATCGACTACACGCAGGTAAACCGACCTCACACATGATTACACTGATGTTTCATTGAATGGGCGTGGCAGACTGGTCTGTGTGGACCCCGCTGGTGCATGTGTGTGTGTTTGTGATGTTTTTCTATTTTGTTCGGCCTCCACATTGCAATCGAGCGATATTTGCTCCTCATCACTATGGAGCGAGCAGCAGCTGGACGCGGATCCGAGTCTGCAGGCGCATTCGCCGCATGTTTGCTGCGCCGTGTGCCGGGGCCAGTTGGTCACCAGTTGTCCCCTCCCTCCCCTCCTGTCCCCTCACCATCGCACCACCCCGACAACAACTGACTCCAGCCCCGGTCAGAAAAGGTCCCAGCAACTCCTGTCCTCCCTCCGAGCAGGAGAACTTGCAGATGAGAGAGGTCTCTGTAACAGCTGGTGGGATCAGGAGCCCAGAAATAGACAGCCCATCCCCAGACTACCACTGCTGCTGCTGCTGCCGCTGCTGCAGAGCACAGGGAGCCATGGGTGTTTCCCCCATTCCCTTTCATGTTGCTGTTTCATCCTCTGCTGCAGGGCTCCTCCAACTTTCACAGCACTCAGGTCCGACAGGTCTATGGAGTTTAGAAGCACCAGTGAGGAGGAGGTTGTTCGACACGAAGTTGTTTACCTGTGTGAACAGCTGTGATGTGCTGTTATCACATGCACAAATGTTCCCTCCATAGGTTGCAAGGGTTTATATCTGATTCTGAATTTCCACCAGCACATAGCCTGATCCTCAGCTGCTGGCCCCTTGCAGCCTGATGGGTTTTTTGAGTTCAGCCTTGCAGGCAGAGAGGGAATGTGGCAAGCGCCTATTGATGACTACTCGATAAATGTTTTAGTGGTGACTGTGCTATCAAACCTTTTGTCTTCTCAAAATAGCGCCCCCGGAATAGTTTCGCGTTGGCTCATGAGATGCGTTCGCATTTTATTCAACCAAAAGTTGACTTTAAAAGCAGAAATTGATCTTGTTTCTTTTCTTGTGTGTGTTTTCTCAACAGGTAAAATGTGAGATGGAAAGATATCTCTCCCCTCAGCCTCTCTCCCTTCCACCTCATGCAGATAGCCAGCAGAAGTCACACAGAGACGTGGATCACTTCTTCACCGATGACCACGGTGGCGCTCCCTACATGCTGAACATGAATCTTTACCTGCCCGAGGTGGCCTACCTGAGGATGGGCTTGTGTCAGCAGGTGCGGGCCCCTCAGCACCAGAACCACACAGGTCTCACCCACATCAAAACAGAATCTGCCTCCCCGTGTTTCTCCCCCAACCTACAGCCGCACTGCCCCAACACTTCACCCTCTGGTAGCTGCGGCACATCTAGTCACGGCCCCGGCAGCATTGCAATGGAAACCTCAGCCATAAACATGACGATAGCGGGGTTACCAGACTTCACCAGTGTTTTCAACCAGTCAGGAGGCAGCCATGGTGGCGATTCAGTGCCAGAGGTGTTTGTCAAACAGGAAATGTCATCACAGTTCGAGCCACACGCTCTGCACCATCACAACGATGGCTCGCTGTTTCAGCTCCTTAACTCTGGCTTGGATCATCCCCATGGCAATGGTATGGAGGCTCAGCATCAGCAGCATCATCGGCAGCAGCAGATACAACACACTTCCACTTCCACAATCCACACACCTTTCCATAATTTGCCGGTAGCTTCTTCTGCATCTCAGCAGGAGCAGACTGCCAAGCCCGTCTACTGTGGCCTGGGAGGGGAGGCATACACACATCCTCATCCTCAGGCACACCCTCATTATCTCCAGCAGCAGGTGCCCTACCTTCCGCCCTCTCCGCCCAGCTCCGAGCCCGGCAGCCCTGACAGGCACAAGGAGCTGCTCCACACCATGTCTCCTCCTCCCTCGTATGCAGCCACCATTGCGTCCAAAATGGCAGGTAGCACCCCTGGGCTCGGACCCAGCCCGGGACCCGGCAGCTTAGCCATGCCCCTTAACACAGGTCCCACACCGGTCCCAGGCCAGGCTGCAGTCCTTCCCCAAACCCCTGCAATAACCCCAACCCCGACCCCAGCTCAGACCACTGTGTCTGTCCGCTACAGCCGGAGGAACAATCCTGACCTGGAGAAACGACGGATCCACCATTGTGATTACCCAGGTTAGAACAATAACACACGTCTGCCACTGTACGTGCATGCTGATTCTTGTCACTACTGTGTTATTTTTACACTCTGCTGCGGTCAGGTGAATCTCTGGTCACTCACAAGGGTCAGCTTTATGAAAACCAGTGTTATTTTAAGACACCCCTGCATATTTTTGAAATTATACGTTGTGTTCTGAAGGACTTTTTCTGGCCTATGAGTCACGATACGCACCGGAGCCACAGCAGAGAATGTGCTTCTCTGGAATCCGAGTATTTTGGCAACGGAGTCCATCAGTCACTGTCTTGACAATTATCTGTGTCCATGCTCATTTAATATTGCACATCAAACTGCTGCAGCCGCGAGCACTTGTACGTTGTTGTGGCTTTAAAGTCAATTCTGGTATGCTTGTGGAATGAATTGTGTGTGTGTGGGTGTTTTAATTACATCAATGTTCTGCTTAAGTAATTTGATTTGCTTTTCCACACACACACACACACAAACACACACACACACTCACACACACTCACACACACTCACACACTCACTCATATTTGCATACAGTCACATTTGAAATTGTTTGTACAGACATTTTTTTCATCTTGCTCACGCACACACACACACACACGCACACAAACATACTGCAGCTGTACGATGTGCAGCTACTTGTAGGATATGTAATGTCAACTCGCCTGTGGCAGCGTGTAAAATGGGCTTAAGCGGAGCCTCCTACAACGTGTTAGCACAAGTCTAATTTCTTTCGTCAAATGAAGTCGATGTGTCACATCCACACAAGGACAGATCCACACTTTACCCAAAGTGTGTCGGTGTATCTCCTCCCGACAATTCATTCAAGTCATAATAAATATCTTTTTAAATCGTTAAAACTCCTCAACTTCCGCGTCAAACTAACAGGTGCAGTGAGCTTCTTCCAAAAAAGCAGTAATTCTTTTTTTAGTAAGTAAACTTAACCAGTTTTAATATGAAATCAAACTGTGTTGACCACTTTCCAACACAGTCACATGAACCTTCTCAAATTTAGAAAATGTGTTAGACCCGTTTTCGTTTTTCAACAAAACAAACATTTACTGTATGTCTTTCCAAACAGCCTCTGTTCTCCATTAGTTCACATTTCTAGCATACCACAGCTCAGTTTATTGGGCAAATACATATCTGGCACATGTGAATTATTTGGATTTGGATTGAGCCCTCTGTTTGTGCTTATCTCCCTGTCTGTCGTCAGGCTGCAAGAAAGTCTACACCAAGTCGTCCCATCTGAAAGCCCACCTCCGAACTCACACGGGTAAGTTCACCTTCATTAATGCAGTTTTTCTAAACAGGACCCCTGTGAAAAAAGAAGAAAACGACGCTGCCCACGCGACTCATATTTCGGTATCTGTGCTGGCACCGTGTTGCTAGGCAGGGTGTTGTGTTCTTGGCATGTGTGTGTAAATGTATCCTACCCCATTCCCATCCTCTGCCCAATATACTATTCCATCAAAACAGGTGGAAGTGACACACTTCTGCCAGGGGATGACTCTCGCACTATGTGGTCAGGGCAAGACATGTGGAGCCATCTCTCTCAGGATCTCGTTGCCTGGTTAGACATCGATATTTAGATGTTTTGATGCACGGTTGGTTGTTCGACAACTTAAGTATATACGAGATCTGTCTGAGACAAAAATTTGTTTGTATATAACAAATTAATGGATTTCCACGAAAAATTTGGGTGCAGATCTGCTGTCTTTAAAATTGCAAGCCGGGGCGTTTTTTTGACATTTCTACTGTTTTCTCAGGAAATAATTCTAGATGAAAACAATCAGGCATATTAAGGGAACCGATATCTGAGTGTGTGAAATGTGGTGCAGCTTGATTGAATTTAAGGGGACTGTTGCTGGAGGTATGCACACCACTGAGTGCCATTCTTTTCCTTCTTTCACATTAGTTTTGGGCCGGCATAGTCAACAAACAAGCGTTTGGGTGTCGGAGCCCCACCTCACTCCAGCTAACAAAACAAAGCTTCTGTTGATATCCATCTATCAATCCCTCAGTCATCACAAAGCTCACACTCACCTCGATCCAGAATCTGTTCCATCTAAATGAATCTGAACAACTTGTTCACAGCATTTTTGTGGGTGTGATTGCTGGCATTTCAGCACTGGGAACATGACCCGACAATTAGATCTGGCGTCATTCATGCAGCAGGCCGATTGTGGTTATTGCAGTTATTACAGACCACAAAACGAGAACACAGCACGTAAAAAGAGGGATGTCGCAGCAGCTTCTGTATCCTCTCTGCCTTTTGTCCATCACACTTTGTTATTTTCTTCCCTATATTATTTCTATCGCTTTCATTCATCTAATCACCTGCTTTTTGTGCCACTCTTCCTGCACCCACCCTCATTTCTGTCTTTGTCAGTTACTCATTCTACTTCTCTTATTCAGCTGCTTAAATGCACACTCATACACACACTCATACATACACTCATACACACACACACTCATACACACACTCATACACACACTCACACACACACACACACACACACACACACATCCACACACACGTCCACACACACCTGTCAGTAATCTGTATGAGATGATTCCTAATGCGTTTGGGCCCCAGTGGGAGTTCCCACTCTAATCTCCATCAACATCCATTACCCTGATTGTTTGTGTGTCTGTCTGTGTGTGTGTGTGTGTTTGTTTTGTGAGAACTGAACACTCCTCTCAGTTGTCTCTTTTCTTTTTCCCGTCCGCGTGCTTTCATCGCTGTCATTGTTTTCAGTTTCAGGTGTGTTTGTGAGTTTGGCGACACTGTGGTTAAAATCCTGACGGGCTCACGGCGTTCGTTTTAGAGACGCTGCTTGTTTAAAGATTGTTTCACACAAATGACAAAAAAGATAATGTTTTGTTTGTCGGTTTTTATTCGTCCATGTTTTGAGATATTAATCTTTGTGATTTCTGCTTCAACTTGAGCCTCTAAATATGATATTTTAACAGATTTTCTTCCCCCAGAAACAAACCTGTAGTTAGTCTGAGAAACACAATACATTTTTTTGAGATTTGATTAGATAGATGTTAAAAACATCCAAGAAACCAGAGTTTCCTTTAGATTCCTCTATAAATTGCTCTGTCGGTGCTCCCAATTAAGGCACAGAGAAGATTGTAACATCTAACTTTGAAAAATGCAGATAAAAAAGAAAAGAGACAAAAACTTCCAAATGGACGTATTTCATAAAATATCTCTAAACATGGACAAATTAAATAAAAATGATTTTCACAGAGTCAGACCAGAGTTTAGTGCAAATTTTAAACAAATCTTTTTGTAATATAGTCCCAGGGAATGTGGACAGGTGGTTGTGCAGGTTTTGGGCCTGTGACAGAGACCTGTGTGCAGCTGGCACTGAACGAGACAGGTCGCCAGAGTTTTCACAAAGTGCCTGCAGCTGAATGTTACTGGAATGTGACAAAGAAACTTACTACATCTTTCAGAGACACACACACACACACAAAAGCAAAGGCAAACAATACAGACAAGTTGTCCGTGGGAAACTTGTGCAGTGTTCGTGTTGGAGTGCTTGATGAATGTCTGCCAATCTTATGACTGTTTATGTTGATAGACAACTGGACTTTTCTGTAAAGCCTGTTTTCCTAGTCACTCCACCCAACTGTATGAATCATGTAACTCAGGGAATTAGTTCGAGTTTTAATAATGATCAGTGTAATCACAAGCATCAGAACCTATAATCACAGACTGATACCACCTGCTCTGACACAGATCATGTGATCAGGTAAAGAAGTTCACCTCTGAGGACAGCAGCACTCATCCTGTCTTTCTCTCTCCTCTCTGTACAGGTGAGAAGCCGTACAGGTGCACGTGGGATAGCTGCGACTGGCGCTTTGCGCGTTCAGACGAGCTGACGCGTCACTATCGGAAGCACACGGGCGCCAAACCCTTCCAGTGCGTGGTCTGCTCACGCGCCTTCTCCCGATCCGACCACCTCGCCCTGCACATGAAGAGACACCAGAACTAGTAGCATTTCCACAAACATCACAAAAACACAAGCACTATCCTGACACGCATAAAACACTCACTCCATCTCCCACAACTCCAACGTTACGGGCTGCGTGACACAAAGTTCACTGACACCACAGCTCTTCCTGGTGCTGCTATCATGTGCTGAAACAGTACGATAGCCTGACAAACGTGTTGCTCTTCACCCAGCGTGAGATGATGTGGAGGTTTTAACGTAGAAAGATGTGGGACGGATGAAGTTCCTGGTTCTTTCATCCCCAGATACACTTATTTTAGAAAAATGGTAGCTCCAAAACGTGTCTCCAGTCCATTTGGACTATTTTATGTGACTGGAACGAAAAGCACTTACCACTCAAATCTTTTACATGTTTTTCTCTGTTCTAACATAGAACTGGCTTCATTTGTTTTTATAAAGGAGAAGCTTTTGTTTGAAAAACTAGTCAAACCAAATCTTTGTTTACTCCGTGGTTTGTTAGTTTGTTTATGTACCTGGAATAGCCAGATTAATTTTTTACCAAATCATTTGATTTGCACTAGAATTGGTGTTCAACGTCTGAGCCTTTTTGGCCAGACGCGTCTCTTCATCACCACTGGAACAATCATTATCACGACTGGACTGAATCCCGCCAATCATTACTGTTCAGATATTAAAAATTGAAGGCATTTATTACTCTGGAGAGAGGGAAGATAGTACAGGGAAAAAAACGAGGGAGGGGTGCAGATGTAGAGTTTGAAAGATTTTTTTTGATTTTAGAGAGAGAGGAGATCTGAGGACGACTGAGAAACGGAGGGAGGTGGATGGTTGCTAAAGAGCAGCAATTAGGTGATGAATTATTCAGATTGTGTTTGGATGGATTTCCAGCCAGAGAAATCTAAGCAGGGACACGTCCTAGAAATCATTCAGTTAAACAGAATTGACTGTATTTGATGCACAAGCTTGAATTAAGCGTTTTGAAACTCGATTACCGTAGATTTCTCCTCATTTACTCCTTTCAGACGTTTAACCAAAGCATAATCTTCATCTACACCTTATTAAGTGCCTCCTCCTCCTGTTTTATGTGTTTCTGTTCAGTGGTTGCAGAGCTGTGATCAACGTAGGCAGTCCTTCAAACACACATGGTGCTGTTTTTATTTGTAAAAAAAAAAAAGGAAACATGTATTAAATTACAAGGTTTACCCATCAGTTATTGTAATTTTAACAGCTCAGTTCAGGCCACTTCACAGACATGCTGAATTTACGTGTTACTAAAATGACAGTCGGAACTTTCTCTGAGGGTTTTACGCTCCCGAACTCTGTAGACAACTAATTTGCAAACGCAGCTTGATCAGTCAGTCGAACGTGGATTTGTGGTTTGTTAAAGGATAGTTTCACATTTTAATACCTACATGCTCATGTGTACATGGCAAATGTGTTTCTCTCAACCACACTGGCCTTAATTCCTATAAACAGATTCTGCAGGTGAATCTGTAAGCGAGGGACAAGATTTTGGGGTCTTCTGATTTCTGTTTTGAATTTGACCAATCGTGTTTGAGCAGGATTTATTCACACACAGAAAAGAGAATAGTCAGACTGTTGTCTACACCAGAATCATAGGTCTTCTTTCAGTGAACACATATGCAAATGAAAAGCCAATATTGGGGGAAAAGTTCAGCAACTCTTCGCAGAGCCACGATTTGCTTCACCACAGGAAGCTAAGGTTTTATTCGCCTCCTTACCTGCACTGATTGGCGTTGAATGAAAAGTGAAATATTTGCAAATGTGTGACCAGGCCCTCAAATAATAATACGGGGCTCCATCATTCTGAATCAGACTCATATTTTTCACTGTTAATCTTATGAGTGCGAAATTTCATCTTTGAACTTCATCAAAAAGCACAAGGAAGGAATCTTGTACTGAAAAAGCGCGAAACTGTAAAGAAAAACCCCATTTTAATGTACATATGAGCATGAACATGTATAGATAAATGTAACCCTACCCTTTAATATAACCCTCTCTGTTCATTTTTGGTGGTGTGGTGTAGCCTGAACTCATAACTGTACTTGTTCATTCACTGCAGGTAACGTTAAGATAATATAGCACTGTAATGTATCATGGTAAATCTATTTATTTGATTGTGTAGAAGTGGGGGTTGTGTCAGATCCACCATCTTTCTCCCCAGCAAAAAATGCCTTAATGTAAATATATGCACTGTAAATAACTTGATTTAGTTTGTTTTATTTTTCCTCTTTTTTATCATTTTGTAAAGGGCAAAATGAGGAAAAGGCCCCGCCTCCAAAAATGTTTGAGCCTTTTTTCTTTTTGTTTCTTTTTCCTGTTTAAAAGATATTTTGATGCCATTGTTTTATATATTGTCCTTCCAGCAGCTTATTTTATAAATCCTTGTTTTTTTGTTTCGTAGTAAACGTTCCAAAGACAAAAGTTGTTTTTTCTTCAACTGAGTGAAGCCGATCCTAATAAAGTCAACTGACACTTTTACAGAGACGTGCTGACATTTATGTGGAATTTTTTTTCTCACAATGGCAGAATTTCATGGCCTGAGGAAGTATGTGTTACATACTGGGTTTTATTTTGAAGCATTTTGTTTTTGGAAGAGTAAGCCATGCTGTGCAGACAGTGTGGCATCTGTGCAGCATTAAAACAAGCCTCGTCAGGGCCTAAATGAAACAAATGAGACATAACCGCACATAATCTTTTAAAAATCTAGACGGGGTTTTATGTGGAAGTGCTGATCCTCTGTGTCTGGGATTTTCTCCGGTTGATCCGAAATGCTCAGAAATGTAAGTTTCTGGGGGAAAACTGCAGAAGATGAGAGGGTATGGAGGGGAGGGGAGGCGCTCATGTCCAGAACCTGCAAGTAACCTGCAGCACCCTCGCTGATCAACAAACAATAGTTCTTTGATATCCCAGCAAGACACAATGGACAAGAAAATAAATCTGACCACCACTCTGGGACCAGAGGGGGAATCCCACTGCATTGAAATGGCCGTACAAACATGCGCACACGCACACACACACACACACACACACACACACACATACAGACACAGACACACACACACACACACACACACACGGACACACACCATATGTTCTTGGTTTAAGTCATAAATGTGACCCGGGGTCTCTGTTGTAATCTACCTCAGATGTCAGAAAAGAGGGAGGTGGAGGAGAGAGAGTGAAAGAAGTGAAATGCAGAACAATCTAAACAAAAGGATCTCTGGGGGGACCCAATCAACCACTTCCGTCCTCCTACATCTCCTCTCTTTCTCCTCCTCCTCCAGTTTTCTTATTTAATTTCATTTTTTTTTCTCTCTTTGTCTTTCCATGCACCGTATCCCTCCCCCCCTCGTCCTCCTCCTCCTCCGCGGTGGAAAGTATTGTATGAAAGTCCAGGGGCGCTGCTCTGTGGGTCAGAGTGGAGACTGTTCTCATAACCTGCGCAGCTCCTCATCTTTTCCCCATTTTTAATCATGCACCTCGTCTCCCTTAAGTCCTCTCTGCTCCACCTTCTCCTCCTCCTCCTAAAACTCAGGAGGAGAAATTTCATTTCTTCTTTCTATCTTCTTAACTCGATTCTCTCTCTCTCTCTCACCAAGTCTTCTAAATTATACAGAATGTGTGAATCATGTATAGACTTGTACTGTTAATGAATATTTAAAAAGTAAAGATCTCACACACACACACACACACACACACA